CCTCCAGCATCAATCGTGCGTTGTCCAGAGCCTGAAGGGGTCGTATTTGACGTTTTTTTGAAAGATTTTTGCGAAAGCTTTGGGAAAGAAGCGTGAAATAGCCTAAATTTTGGTCTTGCCATTTTTTAGACACCATTTTTATCCTCGCGTTATTTTCTCCCTCTTTCTTTCCCTGATCGACAAACCTTTGGACTCGCGTCGAGTGGTCTCAGTATCAGATTCTCTAGCAACAACTTGATCGTGAGGGTAGCAGTGGGGGTGTGGGTCGTATTGGGGACTCCATAGGACTGATGGTAGTGGGCAGTGACGTCCTATGGGTGGAGTCAAATTTCTGGGATTGGTAGAATGGGCGCTTGCTCTCGTTATCCCCCGTATTCATCATTACTATTAGCTAATTGATTTCGGTATAGCATCTCAAAAGGTGATCTGTTCGAATTAATTGATTGATTCATTGTTCTGATAAATAATTCACCATAATCTCTCTCGATTCCCTCGTGATTTTTGTTCCCACACCAAGATGTACAATCAGTTTCTAGACCGGTTTCAAGCTGTCTGTCAATTCCTACACTGACCACAGATCGCACGTTCTTTGAGGCACGTCATGCCGGTACGTATTTGATTACTCTAAATTTATTTTGCTTTTAGTAAAAACGGTGATTTCGAGTTTGCCTCTTAAATCGCCAACCGTCTCCAATTGCGGGACCATCCGTCTATGGGCGCGAGCCACTGGGAAGTTGAGAGCTTGCGAGGAGAGTGACCCTTAGAGGTTCTTGACTTTGAGCTTGAAACTGGCGCATTTACCGAACTCACGGCAACCAGTTCTCATGAGAATCGGGGAGTCTTACGCTCCAACGTGGCAGTACACCTGATTTCCCTAGAATTAAGCAGTTTTTCCCGTGACTGTGCCTTCTTCACATTATCCAAGTAGCAGATTGAAGCGCATAAAATCTCATGGTCGGTCTTTTTTTGCTCACCATTAGACTAGGTGCCGCGAGGCTCTGAATGCTAGAGCCCTCTTCCAGGAGCCTTCCGCTTCACTCTTTTTGCCTTTCCTTCTCGAGGAAAAAACTGTTTCTCTCGATGATTCAATAGTTGATGTCAGTTTGGCATGGTAAAGCTGGGTCAAAACTTCCACAGGGATTCGATAGCCATAGGCGAGTATCTCACATTACAGCTGAATGTGCATGGCGACGACGGCATGCAGCTGTGCGTCGACCGCAAATGGAGCTGGCCACATGTGTTCGTGCGATGCCTCCAGAACATGCTGGGGGTAATCATTTTCATCCGAATCACATGGATCACCGACGAGGTTGGATTAGGTGAGTAATTGCACAGCTTTCATTTTTTCATCTTTTCAGGCTTCTAATATTTCTTTGCTTTTCTCTTTGACTTTCTATTGCTAGTGCGCTTACCCATTTTGTGGTGTTCATGGCAGGGCATACCGCGACTTAAAAACCTCTACTTTTTTTCTACAACCCCGCTCCTATGATGTTTCTGATACGACCCCCCCACCGCCACACGTGAGGGGTTCACCCACAAAATCTATCAGTTCCAACTCCAAACCATTCACCCTCACCTTCATAACTGCTTCTCTCTCTCCCCTCCCCCACCATCTTGCGAACCATACATATAATGAAGTCTGGGTGAGTTGCACAAACCTTTTCCCTCCAACACGCGTAAGCCGTCGGGCGGAGGTAGGAGTAAATATGCCTATTGGATCTAATCAAGCGGCAAATATGTTCTCTGATTCTGCCCATTTTACCCATCGTTTCTGACGTTTCCATCAAAAAAAAAAGTCAGAAAGTCGTCAAAAGCGATCCTCGTTTTTACAGCAACACGACCCCTCCCATATCCATCTCCAAAATCGCTCTGAAAAGCTCAAATGCGACTCCCATTTCACCATCAACGACACACAAGGACTAAAATGCGGCGCCCTCATTAGTAAGTTATCAATGGACGGCAGACCCTGGCTCCTGGACGCTTGGATGATCTGGCTCAGCAGGGTAGCGCATGAAATATGGTGACAGGATTAAGCTATAGGGAGCGTGGTTACGCAGCACTGTGGCAGGGATCACAGTACTACAGTACGGATGTGCTTCGTATACTTGGTAGCTGCGGAGGTGAGAATTAGCGGCAAACTGACTTGGAGCGTGACTTCACTATTTTCGTACCCTTAACTCCACCACCCCCACCCAAATGTTTCGGCGGAATCAAAATCGAATGCGCGGCGCATCTCAAAATGATTATAAATACTGAGCTTCCCGGTGTCACTCAATTGTCTTCTATAGGATAATTCATGTTTAGGCTGACAGATGTCAGTGCCCTGGTGCTGCACCTATGAGAAATTTAGCAGTTGTTGCAGGGAAAACTACTTCACGTAAGTATTTACTTGTTTGTTTGCATTCTAATGTTTGAGCGAATGCGCACATTCTGATTTTTGATCTTAATTTCCACCATTCGTTTTAACTTTTACCTGTGAGGAGCCCTGGAGAAGAGGTGGAGAAACGTCATCAAGGCGGACCTCACTGAAGCCAGGGCCACAGCAGAAGATGCCCTGGATAGAAGAACATGGCGACGGCTGACAAAGACAGCGGACCCTGCGACTGCGCGGGACTAACGCTAAGGGAGAAGAAGAAGAAGTTTTACCTTTCACCTATGTAAATACTGCTACCTATTCCCAAGTAGTCTTCAGTTCGAGATCGAAGATGGTGGTGGTAGCTCTGGCAGTATGTTCTTGCTCGTTGCGGTCCCTGGGTGATCATTCACAGAGCGATTCTTCAGCGCCCAGTGTTGTTGTGACTTGCTGCTAAACCTTGAACCCTTGAAACCTCATAATTTTTTTCCTCCAACCCACCAATGCAAGCACTAATCACAAGCCATCGGTCTTCCGCATGTACTGAGATAACTTGAAAAATAGCTTCCTATGAAATGCAACTTCAGGGATGACCATCTTCTTCATTTGCCTTGGATTCTTTTATCTTTTCTCACTTCAATGTCCGTGGCAGCGATAAGTACCGACCAGCGTGTCGGATTCTTTGCGACGGTGAGCTGCTTTTTGAAGAAATTGTTCGTATTATAAAAAGAGGAATCTCAACAGTCCCACATATTTTCAGGTGTCAACATATACGAGTTCGGCCGTCGCTGCGGGAGTCTCGGTACTGTATGTCTTTAGCAACGTGATTGCCTTTGCGGCGTTTATTGTCGCACTCACGGAGACACTGGTGAACTTTCTGAGGAACTCAGGCTTCACAATGATCGATGGTGGTATCAACGATATGCGCATTTTCTCTGCAGGTCAGTAAATCCCACATTTGTAAGTACAAGACGGCGTGACGGGCAGAATCCCGAAATTCCTCATCCGGTGGCTTTCCCGCCATCTTAGGCTTTTCTTGAACGTAGAAGAAGTTCAGTATAAAGGTTGAGGTCAGAGAGGCAACTGACTACATCAGTGAGTACCAGGTCCGAAAAATGACCGAAATGACTCGTCATTCACCTTTGACGTCGTTTTCTTTACCGCGGTCTACATGAGTCGCCCAGGAGCTTCGCCATTCTACTCGGCGACCACTTCGATCAATTTGCGCGAGCGGTTGAGTACCCGTCTTCCTGAGAGAAGTGACTTGACAAGCTGGTGGAGGACTGGCATAAAGGCTGGGCTGACTGGACTGACTAGACTGACTAGACTGGTAGGAAGACAATTGGACCTGCAGATCGAGTTTGGTTCACACGTGTTCGCATAGTAACTCAGTATATTCAAGGATAATGAAAATCGTCAAGAAGGAATGGATGGATAGAAAAAGGAAATATCATGGAAGGAGCTGTAGGATAGATGCACTATATTCCAAGGAAATCCCAGTAGTGAGCAAGACCACAAGTTCAGAGTAACAACAGATTGGAAGAAGTTCCGCAGTTGTTCAGTAGTAAAAGTAGTAAGTTCGATGAAATGGCTGAAAATTGAACCTACGAAGCATTCCAGCAGCGCCTTTTCATAGATTGGCGAAGACTGGCGAAGAGTATCAAGAACAAAATCTCCACATATTGTTTCAGTGTTCTGTGTCCTTGTGTTGCTGGCAGCAGCTATTCGCTCAGCCGACTATTTTCAATGTCGTCTTGCCATGATGCTACTTGTACTGATCGCAGTTTTAATGCAAATGGTCGGCCTAACTTTACCATCACTCATCATGGAGCATCGTATTAATTCAACCGGTGGGTGAACTAAATCACTTTGATCCAAATGATATGCATTATTTCGATACCAGATTGGTCCCCCGGCAAGCGCCGGAACCTCCCTACCTTGCGTAAGCTTTCCCTTCTCCCTCCTCTCCTTACTCTCCCCTCGTTCCCCTCTGCTCGCCGGCTACCACAGCATCACCTTGTCGAATGACCGAAAGTGTGCTAAGTGCGTGTTTATATAGCCGTTGGGGATGCTATCACAATCATGCCATTGCAAAACACTAATAGCTAAAGTCCTGTGAGCTACATGATTCTGTTAGCGGTTTGTTTATCCCATGAGCTTCCTTCTCACTCACTTCATTTTGCGGACGGACACACATACATACATACATACACACACACATACAGACATACAAACCGACACACAAAGTTAGCGCTTTATAAAATAGAAGGATATACCGAGGTTTGTTCTGCATTATTGAGAGTAGAATTCGAG